TGGCACGGCAGTTTCTCCAAATCATTGGGTCCATTCTCAAAGTTTCTGAACTCAGATCCCTACCATTTTTTAAATGAGATGGCCTCTAGCCATGGTTATCTCAGTTAATAGCTTATCAGCTCCAAGAGGGCAGCTTCTGTATCTATTTTGTTCATCATTCAACCTGGGTCTAGCACTGTGCTTGATAAATATTTGAATACCCTCTTGCAAATCGAAATTGCTGTCTGTCATTTAGCCTCCAGTATAGATACGTTTTTTGGATCACCACTGGTAACAAAGACTTGGAAGTGACTTTGTTAAAAATCGCCTAGCTAGATAGTGGCAGAGCTAAAATTTCATGTCATATCTAATCCAGCCAGTTTCTGGGATTATGAACCTACCTTTTCAGATTTTACACTGTACCACATTATCTCCCCTATAATGTTGTTCTGCTGTTTGCTTTGGAAAATCTCTTGCCTTTCGTACTCTGAAAAGATTTTGTGGCACGTTCAACATTTTTCAGTTATTTGGCATCATCATTAAGAAACACCTACTTTTTCTAGTTTCTGCTAGATTACTTTCAACTTTAAAATGAGTCTACAGATGTAGTACAGATCTTGCCTAGGAATTCCTTCTATGGCTTTGGTTTTATTTTATTTAAAAATTTTTTTATTGGAGTATAGTTGATTTACAATGTTGTGTTAGTTTCAAGTGTATGGCTTTGATTTTAAAAGACATGAATTTTCTTTCCCATACCTGCAGGAGGCTATTTTAATTTCTTAGTCATAGGCAATATTAGAATTTTCATGTTTCTGTTTTAATCACCAAGAAGAATTAGTAGAAAGCTTATTCCAAAAAAGTCTCCAGGAAATATTATTTCTTAATTTAAGAAAAGGATTCTTATATATGTAATAGCATTAAATTAGTATCAGTATTAAATACACCTCATGATATTAAAATCTGATATTCCACCTCACTTTTCAAATGATAATTTTCCTGTATTCATTCAATCAGTTCATCTAATATTTCTAAGACTTTGTGAGATTCTTTGTGCAGTGTTGACAGCTTTCATCTTCATGTTTGTTTTAATTAAAATTTAAACAGAGAATGGCCTGTACTATAAAGCAGCCTGGAACCCTTCTATTTCCATTCTCTGTGTTTGGGAAGAGTCTCAGACAATGAATTGAACCTCAAGCCCTTAACTGTGTTTTTACAGAATCGACATTTCCAGGGTGTTTTCCAATGTGCCAGGAGCAGTTCAAGATCTTTTATATATATGATCCTTGAACCTTAAAACGACTGTCAGGAAGGCATTAATATTCGTGGTTTATACATGAGAAGTCTGAGACAAAGAGAGGAAGTGACTTATTCAGGATCACATAGTAAATAAGTGGCAGAACCAGGATTCCAACCCATGTGCACTTGACCCTAAGACCCAGTTTCTTGCATCTAGCAGGCATAGGATGGGTTGAGAATGCATCCAAATTGAAGGACCTCATATTCATGTTTATCATGTCTGATTATTTGATGGTAGATTTGGAGGTTAAGACATGTAGTCATAACACTAAATGCCATTCTGGAACATTTTAATTACTCTGGCCACTGCTACCTGTCTGCTGCTACCGTCCTAATATTCTTCATAACCTTTATTACAGACCAAGGAAAAAAATGAAGCCTTTGTTTTCAAAATGCTTTTTTAGACATCTCTCAAGTATCATAGTGCTAGCTACCTTGTCTTGTCGTTGTATTTTTTGCTTAGAGATCACTTTCTTTCATGTCTAGCTGGATGTGCAGTTGAAAACAGGTGTTCTGGATATAAATATGCTCTAGATCAATACTGTCCAATAGAACTTCCTGCAGTTGGAAATGTCCAGTTTCTGCATTGTCCAGTATAATAGCCACTAGTTACATGGGGCTGTTTAGTGCTTGAAATGTAGCTAGTGCAACTGTGGAACTGAATTTTAAATTTTATTTAATTTTGACTAAATTCAAATAAAAATAGCCACATGTGATTATAGCACAGTTTGAGGTAGTAATTGATTCTTGTGTTTGATGAGTAATGATAGAATTTGAGGAAATCCAATAATTAGTAGTTTAAAAGTTGCTGATTGGTTTTCCAGCAACATAAACTTTGGCATGTGTTTATCCTTAAAGGCATAGGACCAAATAGAACAGAACAGTTCATATTTCTAAAGCACTTTTTGATTATTCATGATCTCATTTGATGAGTATTTCAGGTATGATATCATTTTGGACTTGTGTTTGCTAAATGGATCACAGTAGAACAAAACCATTTACAACTTTCTTGTGCAGGGGCTACTCCTGTTGAAATGGACACCATTCTGGCCCCTTGATGCTCAGGTTGAGGCTTGAGGGCCTGGACAGGAACCCATGAACTGTTTTCCACTGCTCATTGAGATTGGAGAATTATCCCTCTCCCCTCACCTAGAATGTCCATTAATTTCATTTTTTATATCTAAAGAGAGGGAAGTAGAGACAGTTTCTAAATTTAGCCAGGGAGCTATAATAATTTGATAACCAACAAAAGAAAATATAGTGTTCCTTTCTAATATTTCAAAATAAATCCTCAGGGCTTTGATTTTAGTTCTTTGTTTTGGAAAATACAACCCAGAACTCAGAAATGTTCTGTGTAAGATGAGTTTTTAAATTGATATATGTCTTCTGAAGAAACTTTTGATGGAATTAAATAGTAGATTTCATATGATATTTTGAAGAAAAATTCATTTCCCTGCAGTCTTGATAGGTTTGGTTTCATTTTGATTGTCTGGCCTTATGAAATAATTTGTAAAATATATTAATTTTATTATGTGTTACTAAGTAGCATATTTTTCTCTGTCATTTTAGTTGTAAAATGCTCCTCTCTTTTCTATCAGAGCTCACAACTAATCGACTCTGGGTGCTTTTGATTTTTCTGACTATGCCAAGGCATTGAATGAAGTTCGCTGTAGTGAGAAAAGAGAGCACATGGAACTCGTGACTTTATGTACTCCAACAATAGAGCTTTTATGACATTGGAGGTGGTTAAAAACGCTAGAAGTAGCTCTTAAACATGGCATCGCTGTGTTGCCTTTTTTTTTTTTTTTTTTTTGTATTCTTAGAGCTGCCAGGAGTGCATCGGGCCTGTAATTTCCTGTTCTCTGAATCCCCCATCTTTTTGCAGCTCCAAGCTTTGTGTCCCACAGCCTGTGACTCTGTGCTAACAAATCGCTATTGTCCAGTGGGGCGAATGGTGGCTGGAACTAAAGAATTGCTGTCTGGTTTCTATTCAAATCCAGGTAGTGAGATATATGAATGGACTTTTCGAATCGTCATGTGAATAACGTCTGCTCGGCATGAAGGCTCAGAGCCACACTAGGAAAGATTAACTCCTGGGCTGACCACTAACATCTTTTGTAGTAGGAGGTAGAAACATTCCCAAGTATCATTTTATTCACACTTAATTTTCCATTTCATCTTCCAAAAGTAGAGTTAGCCGTTGAACTATTTGGCTACTTTTCTCTTAAGTTTAGTGTTTCTGTTGATAATATGGAAGTTTGGGAAAATGCTAAGTTGTTTTTCTCTTAGAACACTATTTTTTTCTGTCAAAAGTTTTCTACCTTACATTTATAATGGCATAAAGTTATCTTTATAGCATACATGCAAAAATGAGAGAGAGGGAGCTGCTTTTTCCAAGAAACCAACCCTTTAAAATACTTTCCAACCATTGAAGGGAAAAATCTCCTTTTTTTCAGAGCATTCTACTTATTTGCATTTTTTCCTCCCAAAGCACAAATTTATAAAGAGAAAATAGAAACAACTTCAAATGCGATGTATTAACCAAACAAACAAGCCTCCTTCAAATTAGGAACCAACTTAAGCATTTGTAAGTAGAGCAGAATCAGGATTTTAAAAATTAGATTTGGAAGCTTGACTATAATTCATAATTTCATTATCCTTGGAAAATTGTTATATTATCTTTCTCCTGTATGCCTGAAAAAATGTCCACAGGCTTAAAAAGGGCCATGCTTTTTACATTCCTTCCATATTGCAGGTACTGTGCAACCGGAGAGCCTTTTATGTTTCTTTTTGTCTTAAACTCAGACAGCTTTGTAAGCAGTAGTGTGTAGATTACAAGAGTTAGACAAAAGCAGGCGCGACTGAGAAGAGTTGAGGGCGGGGAGAGCTTGGGGCACTTCCTGTCACTCAACACATTCCAGATCACTAAAAAATTTCCACACCCTCTGCATTCCCTCTTGCCCACCCCAGATCCCAGTATTTTCTGATTACATATGTTGTGGTATTTATCACACTCCTCGCTATCACTGGGCTCTGGCAAGACTGCTTCAGAGGAGATGCATTCCTTTAGATTGCACAAAGCATAGCTGGGAAAATGGCTGGCAGTTTCAGAATCTAGTCACGATCGCACGCATGAGCACCTCACACATCCATGCCCCTTTCCCCCCTCTCCCGCCCCTGCAGCTGGCTGACCTGTCTCACCCACTGCTGGCCTATGGAACGGCCAGGACTGTCTGGTTTTGGCTCATGCCTTTGTCCATGTCTGGCTTAGTTCCTCTCTGTCTATGCTTGCCTCTACCCCCACCGCCCCAGGCAGCACAAGTGTTTGGCTACACAAAACTACAGATAGAAAAAAGGTGGTAAAAACTTCAAACTTTGCTAGATTCTCCAACAGTTTATTCTTTTGTTTATTCACTTTCTCTCTTCTTTAATACTTCGTTTTAAGAAAACAAATACAAAATTAATTATCTAAAGGCAAAGAATGCAAAGCAACCTTTGTGTTCCTTATAATAACTGACTTCATAACTCTCTCCAGCTGCGTTATGGGGTGTGTATAAAAAGCTTCTGTTCTGAGAACAAAGGAGCACGTGCAGAAATGAGACTAAAAAATCCACTGACAGTATTTCACCACACAAATTACTTAAAAGATTTTAGTCAAGCCTCTCAACAGATTCAATGTTAAAATGGTTTTTAGTTTAAAAAAAAAAAAAATTGAAAGTGCTTACCCAGTAAAAGAACCGAAGTAGTCCTGAACTGTTACGTAAGACTTTTTACAGTTGGATCTTTGTCAAAAGGGGGTGGGGGTGATGGGAGAAAGCAGCAACAACAATCAAAAAAGTTCGAGCTGCTGTGGCTTAGAGGACAACTTCTCTGTTTCCAGATAGGATTCTTGCTGTAGAAATGGAACTCCCAGCCAGCACAGCATCCTGTCCCGGTAGAGAAATGAGTTTGTCAGTAAAAAAAAAATTAGATACTGGAACCCAGACTAGATGAGGTACTGAACCGCGCCAGATTTCCTTGCAGCCCTGTCTGCTCAGCTCGCATTGAACTATATATGACCCAGATGATGGACAGAAGCACATTCAGTCATGTGCACACTGGAAGAAAGCGGATTTGCTGGTCCCTGGCAGTGCAGGGGTTTGTCTTCTGATTGGGCTGTGCCCTGATCAGTGAAATGTGAAGCCCTCACCATTCAGAGGCCGTAATTCAGGACTGGCAGTTTGAGTGTCTGGCTGCCTCTAGTCACTGAGAGAGACTTTGAAGGTGTTGCTTTTGTTTGGTGGCATTACCCACTCAGAGGTTACTTACACCTATGTACTAGTATTAGGAACAATGCTAGCCTTCCTGAAATGCAAGAAGGAAGCCGACTTTTCCTGAATTCTGTCATCTTATTGTTGATGAACTTTGCTCTAACTTAACCCAATTATTTGATTTGAGAATTTTTGTGACCTTAACCAAGGTCCATGTCCAGACCACACCCTGGCCGTGATTTTATGGGTTTGATAAGGTAAAAATAAAGGTAACATTTGACTTTGAAGCTTCCTAGATGATACAGATTGCTCTTAATGAAAATTGGATGGATGGACAGCAGAGAAGTTAACTTTTGGATTTTGGAGTCTTTGAATGTCCTAGGAAGAAACTTTATCTCTTATCACCTTTGTGAAGCCGTCACTCTTATCCTAGTCCTTAGTCACATAGGGGACTGCTGGGACGAAGCTACCAAAGTATAGGATCCCACTGAACTGTGACATAGGCTTTATGCAAGATAGGCACAGTCTACTCTCTCTAGTCTGTCTGAACTAGGGTCCTTGGGATTATTTCCTGTCTTTCTGGGCCACTAGGAAATGAGGCCATTATTTGGACTGTTGGTTGTGACATTTTTGTTTAGTATATGAAAGTTGCTTTGTTTAATGCAAATTAACACTTTTTTAAAAATTTGAAGCAATAAAGGAATTAGCTTATATAATCCTAAACTGGTGTTTAGACATATAAATACTGTTTTATTTTCTGCCTCTCTTACACTTGTGGAAATAAATCCATGGTCAGTGTATAGCGTCTGTCTGTTTTGCTGTAAATTCTGGGTTTGGATGTTTAAGTATTTGTAATTTCTTAGATGTTACACAGCATCCTATATATGGGGACTGCCCAGGAATTTTTCTCTTGTCTTAACCTGGAGAAGCTGGGTTGATATGCTATGGGATATAACAATGATCAAAGTCAGAAAAGAAGGGATGCACACCCTCTCTTTCTGTAAACTACAGAACAATCATTCCTTTTTTTCTTTAAGTTGTGGTAAAATATACGTACAGTAAAATTTACCATTTTAACGTCTGTAGTCTGTAGCATTAGGTAATTCACATTGTTGTATAATCATCCCCACCACCTATCTCCAGAATATTTTTATTTCCCCAAACTGAAACTCTGTACCTAACATTAACTTCTTATTCCTTCCTCCCCCAGCCCCTGGCAACCACCATTCTTTCTGTCTCTATGAATTTGACTGTTCAAGATACCTCATAAAAGTAGAATCATACAGTACTTGTCTTTTTGTGACTGGGTTACTTCACTTAGCTTAATGTCCTCTAGGGTCATTCATGTTGTAGCATGTGTCAAAATTTCCTTCCTTTTTAGGTTGAATAATATTCCGTTCCGTTGTACGTATAGACCGCATTTTGTTTATCCTTTCATCTGTCGATGGACACTTAGTTGCTCCCACCTTTTGGCTATTAAGACAATTATTCTTGACCATTCTTCTTGTAATCTTGTGAGGGCTTCTTTACAGAGCTGTCTGACCCATCTTAAAAGCTATTCCATTTTATCAGTTAGAAGGGTTTTGGTATGCCTTTTTACTTTAGAGATTAACTAGGCCCTAATATCAGATTTGCTAGAGAAGGGCAGATTCTTTTCAGCCTTCTTGGATGAGACTTAAAACATAATTCTCTCTATTTATTTTTTATGGGTTTATCTTTTCCTATTACACTGTGAGCTCTTCCTGGGCAGGGACTGTAGTAAATTCCTTTTGAATTGTGCCTGTGCCTCTTGTTTAGGAAGTAGACATCAATAAAAATTAGTTGGAAAAAAATGTTAATTAATGAATAATAATAGAATAATAGCTAATTTTGTTGGATTTTTATTATAGGCAAGACACTGTGACAGATGTTTTATTTACATTATTTAACTTTCAAAACAGCTCTGAGATAAGTATTGTTATCTTCATTTAATAGATAACTTGTTCAGGACCTCATAGAATGTAAAAGATAAAACTGAGATTTGAACCCTTGTCTCTTTTGGCTCCAGAGCCATTATGCAAACTCCATAGTGAGGTGATGATCAGTGGGTTTGGAAGCAGGAGATTAAGGCTAAGCATTGATTCCAAATCAGATATTCTTTCATTAGGCATCAGGAGCTAGAGCCCTGTGATAGAGATGGTTCATGAGTGGATACTCAGAGGAAAGCTTTGCACATTATAGATCTTTAGCTGAACAACCCCTTGTTGAACTCAGTTCACAGATATTCCTGTGTATGTAAATTCTCTTAGGTTATTTTGAAAGTGCAGTTAAGTGAATGCACTAGAACAAATGAATCAATGTTCCTCATACATATATGAATGATACTGTTCTAGGTGCTAGGGTGAGTCAAGAATAAACCAGAACAGATTCTTATGGATCTTGCATGCTAGTGAGGAGACAGAAAAATAAGTTTACAAAGTAATATAACGTAAAACAGGAAACCATGCTATGAGGAAAATAAAATAGGGTAATGTGATGACGGACAATGCCTTGGGGGTAGATTTGGATGAGGGACTCCTTAAATGAGGAAATACCCAGGAATGCTTCTCTGAGGAAGTAAAATATACAAGCTGAGAGCCAAACGATGACAAGAAGAATCCTAGAGGATAAAGAGCTAAAAGAAGTGTGATCTGAGCAATGAGAACGAGATGTAAGAGCTCTAAGATAGGATTGAGTTTGGTGTGTTTGAGGAGCAGAAAGAGTAGCATGGCTAAAGTGGAGTGAATGCAGGTAGGAGATAATGTTGGAGAGGTAGGATGGGATCCTATCATGTAGGGCCTTGTGAGCTGTGATAAGAAATTTAGATTTTTCCCCAAAGGTAGGAGATTGGAAGGTTTTAAGCATAAGAGTCCTCCTGACACTACCTTTTTTTTTTTTTTAAATTAAATTAATTTATTTTGGGCTGCTCTGGGAGGCATGCAGGATCTTAGTTCCCGTGCCCCCTGCAGCGGAAGCACAGAGTCCTAACCACTGGACTGCTAGTGAATTCACTGCTACTGAATTCCCCTGACACTTTAACTGGAGTCCTTCCCAAGCTGGAGACTTTGCCAAGGCTTTCGCATGTTAGTGGCCAGCTCTAGATGTCCTAGCAGAATGATACTTCTTTTACAAGAATGCTGGGGCAACCATTGGTTTCATTGCTCTTTCCACATCAAAGAGGGCTCGTTCAACAGGAGTCTTGTTGTTTTCACAACATCACTGTTGTGTGGATAGGGTTTTGTATGCTGGTTTTCTGTATTAATTTAGGCTGAAATTCAGTTCTTAATTAGACCTGATCTTTCTGTGTCAGTACTTTGAAGGACGTGTTCTTGGCAGTTGATGATGGCTGTTTCATTTATATGATATACTTAAGGGCATACTGATGGGAATCTGAAATTGACAAGTAAAGAGGAACTTTCCCAGTATTATTTTTATTTTTTGGCCGTGTCGGGTCTTAGTTGCGGCATGCACGGTATTTGTTGAGGTGCGTGGGCTCTTCACTGTGGCATGCGGGCTTCCTTCTATTTTCTCTCTCTAGTTGACGCCTGCCAGCTCAGTAGTTGTGGCCCACAGGCTTAGCTACCCTGTGGCATGTGGGATCTTAGTTCCCCAACCAGGGATTGAACCCACCTCCCCTGCGTTGGAAGGCGGATTCTTTACCACTGGACCACCAGGGAAGTCCGTTTGCCAGTATTCTTTTTTTTTTTTTTTAAGATTATTTATGTATGTATGTATGTATGGCTGCGTCAGGTCTTAGTTGTGGCATGCAGGATCTTCGTTGAGGCATGCGAGATCTTCCGTTTGCAGTGTGCAGGCTCTTCTTTGTGGTGCACGGGCTTCTCTCTAGTTGTGGTATGCAGGTTTTCTCTTATCTAGTTGTGGTGCGCAGGCTCCAGGGTGCGTGGACTCTGTAGTTTGCGGTATTTAGGCTCTCTAGTTGAGGCGCACGAGCTCAGTAGTTGTGGCCTGCAGGCTTAGTTGCCCTGCGGCATGTGGGATCTTAGTTCCCTGACCAGGGATCGAACCCACGCCCCCTGCATTGTAAGGCGGATTCTTTACTGGACCACCAGGAAAGTCCCCCCTTCCCAGTATTCTTAAGTAAGGTTGTATTCAGGTATTCTGACTCTAGTAGGGTTAATTGCTAACATTTTTCCCATATTATTTGATTTTTTCAAATACTGTGAAAAATACCGAACATAACATTACACACCTGATAGTTTCATTTTATAGGTCAGTTGTGTTCAAATGGTTTTGACCATTATCCTCTGTAAGAAAGGTATTTTATATTGTAATCCATTATACACGTACTTGTATATATATCTATGTATCAATATCTATATCTGAAACCATATTTTCATGGTATATAGTACTTGTCCTTATTACATGTAGTCATCTACATTTTTTTTTTTTTACTTAAAAAATATTATTTACAAGCCACTAAATTGATTTTAAAACCCACTGAAGGGACAATCTGAACTTTGAAAAAACATTATAGGGGAGAAATCTGAGGCTCGGAGAGGTTATGATTTGTCATTTGTCACATAGCAAGGAAGTAGCAGAGCTGGGACTTAAACCATTGCTAATGATTCCAAAGCCCTTCCTTGTTACCACATTGTATAGCTTTTCTAGTGATTATAACCTTCAGTGAAACTGAACAAAAATGAAAACACCAAAAATGACCTTTAATAATGATTATATAAAATGTAAATTTTCAAAGCAGAGGCTGTAGGATGGGACAGAAATATTCTTCCCCTGATGATGTCCTCTGCCTTTTTCAAAGAGCTGTTGGCCACTTGGCGTTGTCTTCCATATCTTGGACAGCATGCAGTTGATATTACTCATTAGTTGTACTGCGAACCAGCAGTTTCCCAAAGCACTTGTATCTCGTTACTCAGCCTACCCCTGAGCTAATCTTGGCTTCTTAAAATAATAGCTGTGTGATACCTAGCTTATGAGAGTGAGAATGTGGCCTCTCAAAAGCGAGCTGTTGCAGTGTAACTTGGAGTCAGTGCTCAGATACAAGATAGGAAATATATCTAGCATCTGAGTCCAGCCCTGCCGTTTTCTGACCTGGTTACGGTACTGGTTGAGTTAATTTTGCTGAAAGGAGAAACCATGTCCTCCTCTCCTGCTGGAGGATAAGGCTGTATCAAAGGGAAAGGGTAGGGAATTAATGCCTGTTGTTTACTATGAGCTAGCCATGCACTGTACTCTAGGCCAGGGGTCCCTAACCCTCGGTCCACGGCCCATTAGGAACCAGGCCGCACAGCAGGAGGTGAGTGGCGGGCAAGCAAGCAAAGCTTCATCTGCTGCTGCCCATCACTCCCCATTGGTCGCATTACTGCCTGAACCATTTCCGCACCCACACCCCCACCCCGGTCCGTGGAAAAATTGTCTTCCAGGAAACTGGTCCCTGGTGCCAAAAAGGTTGGGGACTGCTGCTCTACTCACCCCACCCCCGCCTTTTAATCTAATTTAATTTAATTTATTTTTTGGCTGTGTTGAGTCTTTGTTGCTGCATGCAGGCTTTTCTTCAGTTACAGCAGCAGGGGCCGCTGTTGTTGCAGTGCGTGGGCCTCTTATTGCGGTGGCTTCTCTTGTTGTGGAGCATGGGCTCTAGGCATGTGGGCTTCAGTAGTTGTGGCACATGGGCTTCAGTAGTTGTGGTGCTCGGGCTCTAGAGCACAGGCTCAGTAGTTGTGGCACATGGGCTTCAGTAGTTGTGGTGCTCGGGCTCTAGAGCGCAGGCTCGGTAGTTGTGGTGCATGGGCTTAGTTGCTCCGCGACATGTGGGATCTTCCTGGACCAGGGCTCGAACCCCTGTACCCTGCATTGGCAGGCAGACTCTTAACCACTGTGCCACCAGGGAAGCCCTCTAGGCCCTTTTGCCATAGGTTTTAGTTTAATTCTCATGACAGTTCTGTGAGGGGAAAGTTATTATCCCTAT